TGATAACTGATTTTCCTATTAGTACCTCTCCCTCTCACAATACCAACTGGGAGAGAAGCTGACAACAAAACCTAATAAGCAGATGTTTATTTTTGATATTTTACAGCAACGTGTCTGGCGTGGTCGTCAGAGTAGATTCTGACCGTTTGAAACACATCTGCAGAACACAGATAACTTTTAAGTGAATCGAACTACAGCCCCCAAATGTCTTAATCGTGGATTTCTCCGTTTCTGACACGAGTATTTCATTTAGAGAGGGTTACTGCAAAGCTGTCTGTGGTACAGAGACAACACTGGGACGTATTGCATTATCGCTTGATAAAGCGTGTCCGAAAGCAGTTGCCTGTTTACACATCGATCAGATACAGAGCGACATTATCGCCTCATCTTTTACGTCTTTAATGTTCCACTTAGAGAAAAAAACAAATAGCTTTGTGTGCAGTTATTTCAAGACCAGAAAATGGTTAGTAAAACCTGTGCATATTTGATTCCCTAAAAATAAAATGGGATAAAGAACCGCAAGCAGTCACACATGTAATTAGGCTCCAAAAATATAAAAATGTCATGTTATATTTTGGTATCACTAGTCATATAAGTAAAAAAGGAGCCTCACACTTCATGAGGCTTTCTAGTGTTGCACAAAACACCTTTTATGTTTGTTTTCTAATATCATAAATAGGCCAGAGAGGCCAGACAGCCTTGAAGGCAGTGGCTCCTAATAATCCTGCTCCATTATGAATGTAATAGCCTCAATCAAATCAAAGTGTATCAGTCTGTCATCAATAATAGAAGCGAGCCCTGGCAAACAGGTTGCTCTGTCTGCATCGGTTCTTTGTGCAGAACGAGTGAGAGCTTCAGCCTGGAGCGATCAAAGCCGGGATGACCTCAGCCAGTTTTGCAGACGATAAAAAGGCTTAATTTTGGAGACGCTGCATCTTAAACAAAAGCGAAAGACTGTTCAACACTTTCGGCCTACTTGCAAAACTCTGCCAACTGTCACTGCTAAATTCTGACTCCTTGTTCTAAATGGTCAGACAGTTTTCTATCTGTACGATCCAGACGGCAAAACAAGCATCAGAGCTCGACGTTAATCGCGGCGCTCTCAGGTAATTCACTTTTGTCTGCTGTGGCAGTAATTTCAGCTTTCTTTTGATACCTGGGGAGAGGCTGAACATACAGAAAGGCTTTTGTGTGAGAAGATGAGGCTGCTGAAATATATGTAATGTGGGAGTCAACGGCAGAGCGAGCAATGAGAGACACTATGATTGCAGATTATGTGATTATGTGGAGTTTGCGCAGCGAGAGGAGGCTGAGATGTAAAAACCGAGCTCTGTGCAGAACTTCAAATTTGACACCTCTTCAGTATGTCGGGTTACACAAACCACATCATGTTTGATAAAACGCTCCTTTGCCCACAGACTCGAGTGAAATAAAAGGCTCAGCGACAGAAATGTTCATAACTTTACTCACTAACAAAGCTGCGCATCCATTTTTTAAACTTCTCTTCTTTCCTGGTTTCAATAAACACATCCTTCTGTTGATTAACCCTCATTTTTTTTATAAGAAAATGTGTTATTTATATGATTTTTTTTTGAGGGGGGGAGGGCGGGGGTGCAATAGTAGTAAGCAGATCACACATTGTCATTTTCCAGTATAATTACATAATCCACAGACTACAATCACAAGCCAGTACTGCTTGTTTCCTGGCAACTTCTTTGCTCAGGGATGAATGAAAAGAAGTATTGAGAGGCACATCCAGGAGAGGCCCAGGGGGTCAGCTTCTCATTAAAAAAAACAAAAGCAAAAAAAAAAGATTGCCTCAGACAGCACTAAACATCTCCTGTCATTTTTTTATTACCCTAGCAGTGGGAAGAAGACCAAACAACACACGGACAGGTGCGTGCACAGCAGCACTGAGGTACTTTGGTTTGCTGGGGAGGCAACACTTGAGCTTAAGTCATTGTTGCTGTCTTTTTTAGCTGAGATTGAGTAGCTTGCGTTCATATTGTTGGACTAAATACTTTCTGCAGCACCGCAGAAAGAAAAGAAAAAAAGTAACGCATGGCACAATAGATAAGCCGAAATCCTACTGTGTAAAGCTGCTGTAGCATTTTTCTTTACGGGAGTCATCTGAGAAGACCCCACGGGCGATAATATGTATCAATAAACACGCACAGCTGAGCAGACTCGCTGCCTCTCCTTCCAGCTGCAGAGATGCTGCTGATGTTGACGCCGAAAGGAAGATAAAGGAAAACTTTGACAGGCTGCTGATGGTCAGCTCTACAGTGTTTAATGGTGTGAGCAGTGTGTGAAGCTGCGTATACTCACGCCCTGGTCTTGGGGAAGCCCATGGACAGCAGTACGTCCAGAGTGGACCCATGTTTGATGGTGTTCGGCCGGTTCTGGCGCTGTCTCCGCGGGGTCACTTTGGCATACAGTTCCTCTTTAGCTGCCATAACTCACTGCTCCATCGGTACGTCAGGTCCACCCCTCCTCCGATGTACTGTCATTTGTTGGAAGTAATAGATGTGTATAGATATAGATAGACCGATGGGTGTAGAGAGTAAACCAGAAGAAGAAAGGAAGAGGCGAGCTATTTAAAGCAGGCTGCCCCGGCTGAAGAGGAAGCGCGTAGAAATCACGAAACAGTGCGGGGAAGCGAGCATGGTGAGACTTGGTCTAAACGCACTTAGCTTGTCAAGCTGCCTCCTGACGGACTCGCATATGAACCCAACAGCAGGGGGCTCAGCCATGGAAAGTCACTTCTGCGCTGTCAGCCGTGCCCCCGATCCACATTCGCCGAGCGCGGAGGCGAAAGTGTCTGACTCCCGCTCGCTGTTCGCATCCGGTGCTCTCGAGTGAGAAAGTCAGCCTTTCCACGCCGAAACGATGTCTTATTTATGAATGAATCCCGGAGCGAGGGGAAGGCTCAGCCTGTAAACGGTCGCAGGTCTGACTGCGCGGCCCCTCTCTCTCAGTTAAAGGGGCATACGCTTGTTTGTGAGAGGACAGGAAAGCTGTTATAAACGGAACCAGGGTGAAACTAAAAGTAAAGCCCACTCCTCTGCTTATATACGTGTGCGATGAAAGTAATGAGATTACTTGAGAAAGGGTGATGTAAAGAGCCGAGGTACGGCTGGATGGTGGAAAAAGTTGGTCACACTTCCTGTCTGCGAAAGTCTGTGTCGACACTACTCCGCATGCGCAGTGCACTCCAAAGGGGATCCGAGCACCATCAGTTGCCACAGTAACCCGCTCAATTTGCCCTACATTACTACGTGAAATATAGGTACTTCTAACTCTTACGGATCGCGGTGATGTGTGAATTCCTCCTGCAGTTAAGTGAATGATTTTTGTCATTTTAAAATGTATCTGTGTAGAGAATAGCACAACTTTTTTTAATGGTAGCTTTATTTTCTTTCATATTGACAGCTGTAGCATTTCAGCTTGTGTGTGAGATACACTTTTAAAGGAGAAAATAGAGCAAAGAACTGCAATAAAAATAGATAATCATGATAATAAGTAGCACCCCATCGTGTTTGAAACGAAGCATTAATTTTTAAACTCATCTGCATGACTATGATTATATATTTGTGCACGTGTGGCCATGTATTGAAAATGAAGGGCGACATGTCTCATACAGCTCAATGGACAAAAATGTTTACTTCTTATTCAGTCCACTGCCCATCGTGTCCATCACACATACTTAGCAGTAGGCATATTTTTCCATACATCCCAATAGTTATAAATTGAAACAACAGTTAAAACTTCAGAATTATAACAAAAATGTTTTACGATGACCTGGATTCCTCGCTCCATACTCAAAGCTGACGGGCAGCATTTGCTTTGGATTGTTGCTTGGTGGATGGACGCTACTCAAAAACCAAAAGGAACACTTTTTAATCAAAGTGTTGGATTAAATTAGTTAAACATACTGTATGTGGTCAGGGAAATAACAGAGAGGGTTCTTAGTTAGTCCTATGTCCTCTAGGTGGCCCTGTGCTCACTGCTGAGCCCCTTGGAGCCTGATTGGCATTTGCCATAGAATACCAGAAATTGAAAGTACAACACTTTTGCCTTGTGCTTTTCACACATGGGAAGAGGTGACAGACATGAAAGGGTCTGGACAAGCTGTGGAAAATGCTATGCTGCCTGCACCATCGCTCAGCACGACCGGTTTTGTGGTAGGTCAGTGATGGTCTTGAGAGGAATGTCCATGGATGGAAGCAAAGGCCGCTACAGATTAGGCAACGGCACCCTGATTACCAGTAAGTATCGGGTTGAAATCTGTGGACCCACTGTAAGACCCTACGTTGGTTCAGTTGTTCCTGGGTTCCTCCTGAGTCCACAACAATGCTGGGCCTTATGTGGTGAGAGTATGCAGGCAGTTGCTGGAGGATGAAAGAATTAATACATTGACAGGTCCCATGTTCACCTGATCTAAATCCAGCTGAACTCCTCTGGGACATTACGTTTCTGTCTATCTAATGCCACCAGGTTGCACCTTAGACTGTCCAGTCTAACTCCTGAGTACAATTCTAAGTTGCTACAGTGAAATTTTAGTAAAATGTACTTTTAATTTTAAGAGTATCTTTGAATCCAGCCCTCTGTAGGTTGATCCTTTCGTTCCTAACACATTACCCAATCTATATTAAAATAGAAATCCAGCATGATTTTCCCCCACACATATGATATAAAGTGTTCCTTTATTTATTTTTTGAGAAGGGTATAATGAACTTTCCCCAGTTTCAAAAATAAAAGTGCTATTCCACTGTCATTTTAGTCTATACATGGCAGACAAAAAAAAATCTAACATGCGGCAATAGGCTTATAAGGAATTGATGTACATGTGCTTTAACTTTATTGGATCAGCATGTATTTGCAAGTACAACTAATTTTTATAAAAAGAGCAGTATTTATAGGGTCAGTGAGGGTTGGCTAGTCAAACAGTCAGTCTGTAGATGACACAAAAGCTAAATATTACCCTTCCGAGACAAATGTAGACCTATTTTAAAAGAGTTTATTATAAATAAGCACACAGAAAAATTATACACTTATACAAAAAGGACAAAACAACATCCACTTAAATATCGAATGCCATCAATATATACTTGGATCTCATCACACCACTATCTAAATGTTAGCGTCCAGAGGTATACAGCATTTCATTAAGATATGTTGTGTGAAAATTGAATGTGTAAGAAGCAAGTAGATCCAAGGCATTGACTTCATACAACCTTCTCCATGAATCCTATTCACAAAGTAAACTTTTACCCCTTTTCCACTAACAGGAAACCGGTTCAGTACTGGCTGTACACCTAATCTTGAAGCCTTCAGAGCATTCTAGCCAAAAATAAACTGGTTGGGACCTGACAGTCGGTCCCTTGTTGGAATAAAATGGATGTTAAGTTTTTCCAGTGTGAATCATGGTGAAATCGGTGGGTGTGCTAGCTTACTGCTAATACTGCTTTAGGGTTGCGCACTCTCAGCATTAAGTCTCACCCTTCCTAAACAGGCTCTATGCCAAATAAGTGGAAGCCTTTTTACTAAGCAGGAAAGGCATATTCTCTCACACTCACACTCACACGCACACACACACACACACACACAAACATCACAAGGAATGTAGCAGTTCATGACTTTAGTTGCCAAAGGTGCACAGACGCAGACACATACCCTCTAAAATAAACTGAAGTCATTATGTGAATTTGGAAACAGTATTGAACCATTTTCCTGCAGTGAAAGGGGTATAAGAGTGACCATTTAATCCCAAGAAGCTATCCAAATTTTAAAATTAGTTTTATTTACAAAGAAAGAGAAAAAAATTATCATGTACATTACATCAGATCTGTGGTTGGAAAAAGAAGAAATTAAAAAAAAAAAACCAAAACAAACAAAAGCAGGAAAAACAAAAAAATGAAACACCTTTAAAAACGTGGCTGTGATATTGAGGCTCTGTTAACATTTCAGCTAACCCACAAAGACCGATAAGAGAGTTGTGCTAGCGGAAATGAATGTGATGGGACAGCAAATATAATAAATGCAGCAATATACGTCTGTCCTCAATGTAAAGATAACAAATAAATATATTTATTCATTTACTGCTGCTGGTAGTGGTGTAGGGGTACTCTAATTAACCTTGTTTTCACAAGTAAGCGCATATCTTTAAAATCTTGTTCTTCATAAGACAGAAGATAAAAAGCACACAGAAAAGCACACATCGGTGAGGAGCAGAAAATTGGTCTCTGCTGAAAATAGGTCACTAGTGGCCACAGTTCATTTCAGTAAAGATAGATACAGTACAAGGTTCATTAGTTATCTATTTCCTTATTTCCTGTAGGGTGTTGCTGCATGAACCTCACGTGTTGATGCATTTGACAGACTACTGTAGCTGGCTCAGGTTAAAAAAAAATATATATATATATTGCAATGGTCTATAAAAACTGCATTGTACAAACTTTCAAACTCCTGGAAAACCACACACTTAAGAGACATCTCGCTCAGAGCGCTTGCTGTCGCCACTGCTGCTCGTACACTATACCACAAATGATGACTTCTGTGTGAAATCCGCCTGAGAAACAAGCATATCAAACAACACAATCAAAATAAAGCACTGCTTCATCCATTTTTGCACAGATACCATGTTTTAGCCCTGTATGCAAAGTGTATCACATGTGACACATGAGTTAGTTTATGCCGACTAGTTGCACAAAAAAAAAAAAAATACCAGATGTAAAATTTAACCTTCGATAAAGCAAACTGATATTTAGTTTAGCTTAGAAGGTTCAAGTAACACTCCAATTTTTAAAAAAATTCAATTTTCTGGCGATTTCAAAGTTCAAATATACCAAGCACACTTCATTATAACGAGAGCTAGAAGTACTTATTATAACAATGAATCCGCTAGTGGAATAAAAGGCAACGTTGTACTTACATCATCACCACCACCACCACTAGGTGCTGCTTGGTAAGACTGGTTCATCTTTGAACTGCTGCAAGAAAAATGAGGGGGAAAAAAACCCAGTATTGACATCACCAAATATAGATCGCTATCATTTTTACATTATTAAACCAAAGGCACTAATGTTAAGTAACATTTAAATGCATAGAAATATGCACTTACCTTTCTTTCTTTGCTGTAATAGGAAGAAAGGAAACAACATCAGCACAGAGTACTTCTTTCAGATACACTTTTTAGACCTCTGCCTGCCTGAATCAACAAACTAACTTTTCGCTGATCATCGTCAGAACAACGAGGACGGTAAAAGTCTGATTTGAATATAATGTGGAAAACTAACCAGGCAGATATCCTTTCTTTTTGGCAAACCAAACGGCAAATATCAGTAGGGCCACAAGCAGCAGAGCCACCATTACACCAGCAACAATTCCTCCGGTGTTTAGGTCGCCTTGAAGAAAACACAGGGAAACATAAAAAGGTGAACCAGCACACTTTCTTTGTGAGGTAAGGAAGAAATGGCTCAGGCGAAAGCATTTTGTGGAGTTTAAAGTGTGAAAGGAACTTACGAACTTCCATCTTCATAGCTCTACATTTCTGAGCAGGGCCAGCATCATTGACAGACTCACAGTAGTAGTCAGCTGTATCCGTCTTGGCTGCAGCAGGAAATTTCTGTGGCCACACAGGTATATTTTAAACTTAAAGGCCAACACACCATATCAGTCATAGTAAAGGTTACACATGTAACTAGCTAAAGCTTACCAGTTCGCCACTGGTTGAATTCAACTTGTAGGTGGCGTTTTTGAAGCCAGCAACGTTACTAGGGTTATCAGGCAGAAGAACGTTGTTTTTGTACCACTTGTATGTGGGGCGCGGTGAAGCGCTTTCATCAATGCAATACAGGATGGCTGTGCTGCCCGTTGTTACCGATGAGGGGACTTTACAAAATGGCACAGATGGAGGCACTGTAGGACAAAATGTTTAGTTTTTATCTGGACCACTTATAAATGGCAACATACAGTCTTCATTACAGCAAGTAAATGTGATACATAGTCTTACCCAGAACAGTCAGAGTCACTTCTGTTTCCCCAACTTGGGTTTTGTCAGCGCTGGTTATCTCACAGGTGTACACTCCAGTATCTTTACGAGTGACTTTGGAGAATCTCAGATTGCTACCACCATACACATTCAAACGGTCAGCATACGGCGCTGTGGAAGAAACGCAGCATTACGTAACCAGCATGGAAGTATTCAGACACCACATTCAGCAGATGGGTTTCAGGACAGGTTATTTGGTTGGTCGCAGAAAAAGGTTTTTTCTAGTGTTGTCAGTGTTAATCTAATTAAAATGACGTTAACGCCATAACTGCATTAACTCGGCGAGCGCCGTTAGCTCATCAACGTGTTAGTGCAGTTAGCTCGTTAACGCCGTGCAGCCCCACGCATGGGGCGATCCGCGGTAACTCGCTAACAGAGATTTTCCGCGTTAATGCAGTTTTGGCGTTAACGTCATTTTAACGAGATTAATGCTGACAGAACTAGTTTTTTCTTTTAATCTAAATCTGGATCTGTCAAATAAAACGGACCATGGCAGGCACCAATGTGATCACCGTGACTGATATTGATGATATTACATTCACCGAATTTTGTCAACAGTGACATCAAAATAGAATTTTTGGAAAATTGTGGTTTTATTTCACATGCATCATGTGTTTTTGTTTTTTAGTTAAACTAATTAAAGTGTCAGTTAAAAGAAAGAAACGTCAAACTTACCTGTTGGTTTCCCATCGTGAACCACAAACACCTGAGAGCCTTTTCGGTCCTTAAACTTCCATCTAAGTAAAATGTTTGAACCAAAGTCTCCTGAAAATGAGCATGTCAAATCCACACCTGGAAAGAGAGAGGGAAATTTGTGTGGTGACACCATTAACCTGCATAATTCTGCAGTCTATTATTTAAATGCAGTTTTGTCTTATTATATGACTTCATCTTGAAAACCTCTGAATCTGTGATTTTAGCAGACACATCATAGACAGTTTGCAATTTTCCTGGGTAATCATTCACAATCCCATTTTTTGTTTTGTTTTTTTAAATTCTCTATTTTTAACATGTTTGATTTCATTTTCTGTTTATGCTATTTTTTACATGAACAGCACTTTGTGAACCCTGGTTTATTTTAAAGTGCTTTATAAATAAAGGTGGTATGGTATTCAGAATTTTGTTTTAAAACTCACCTGTGTTCTCTTCCGCTCGTACATTTGCCTTTGAAGTAGTGACCGAATATCCACTTACACCTAGACACACAGATTAAAATAAAACAAGTAAATAAATAGAACACTCAGCATCAAGTGTCAAGTCCAAAATACTCACTTCCTTTAAGCGAACCGGCTTGTAGCCTAAAGGAATATAATGCAAGTGAATGCACGGTCATGATAGAGCTACCATTCTTTGTCTCTGAAATAAACTACAAAACAGGGAAAGCATAACTTGTGTAATGGAAGGTTTGATATGAGTGATCGGTACAAGTGTTGAAGTGGACATGTAGCGATACATGACTAATTTACTTCATGGAGCCCTGTTCATAAAAGCTGACATGGATGCAACTCTGTCTGTGAAGCTTATTTAAGAAAGAAGTGGTTAAAGTAAAATTTTTAAAAACATGTTTAGCGTCATCTTCTGTCAGCACGGAACATTTCATCATCAGGTTGGTTGGTCGGTCGCAGCCAATAGTTAACTAACATAAACTAATGTTACTAACTCGTAACAGAAACAATAACTTGGGGGCCTAAGGATGATAGTCATCAAATCTTGTTTGGTTTTCATATTTTTAGTGATATCAACTTATTTTCTTTCTTTTTTTTGCTATATTTTTCAGGTAACCTATATTTGACCAAAGCATAATAAAACCAGAAATTCTGTTTTTTGTTGTGTCACCCGAATATTTTTAGTGGCCCCCATATGGCCACGCCTATGAAAACATTCTGGAGGTGCCCCTGGTTCCATGATCAGCTGTAAGTGCTATTATTACTGTGTGGAAGCAGTTACTGAGTCACCAGCGATCCAAACCACCTCTAGCATTAATATCAGCACACACACAAAAAAAATGTGCACCAGGAGCTTTACAGCATAGGTTTCCACAACTAAGCAGCTCTTGTATGCGTAATATACAGGTGGCTCTATACTTTTGTCTATATGCTGCTTGTGTGTATGGCTGCATACGGGCCAAGCACTCTTGAAACGCAAATGTAATTTATACACGTTTCATTACATGTGCACTGTCAGTGTAAATAAAAAAAAATACATATATACACATGACCAAAAGAGACAACATAATATTAAAATAAGCCAGTGTATAAAATACAATAAGCTTACTGAATAAACCTATAAGCAATATCCTTACCATTTACTTGGACACACACAGACCCCATAATGGTTTATAAAAGAAAAATTAAAAAAAGCTTACTGATAACACACACTAACAATAGGCCCTGCAGGATAGGAACCTTTTGGGTTTAAAAATACTCATTGTGTACTCAATGTACTCTGTGTAATCTAACCCAGCGGTCCCCAACCTTTTTTGCACCACGGACCGGTTTATGCCCAACAATATTTTCACGGACCGGCCTTTAAGGTGTTGCGGATAAACACAACACAATAAAACTAGTACTGGTACCGAAAAAAAGAAGATTTATTTATAACACACGTGAAAAGACCCAGGAAAACCGAGTAAACGATAAAAATGATAACAAAATAACGCTGAAAACCATACATTTCACACCTGATCGTCAACTCTCGGCCCGGTACCAAATGACTCATGGACCGATACCGGTCCAAGGCCTGGGGGTTGGGGACCGCTGGTCTAACCTGTCTGAAAAGTGAAGCATGGCGTGAGTAGGAAGTTTGTGCCAACCATTTGCTGAACACAAAAAGCAGATTAAAAAAAGAAAAGAAAAAAACCCCTACACACATGCACAGATAGTGCTCTGCTTAAGCTGCTTTGAAAATTGGGTTTTAATAAACCCAGTTTTAACACTCCACAAACATGGCATGCAGGAATAGGTGAAGAGACGCCAGGAGGAGATTTTATTACTCAGGCTTCAAAAGGTAACATCATTTCAAAGTTAATTTTTTTTTGTACTTTGTTTAACAAAAGAGACCTAATGGTGTCTAAAAATCAATCGAAGGTTTTCATTCATTTAAATAAATTAAATTATCATTCTAGGCTGACGGCCACGATCAGAAAACCCAAGTCCTCCCTCTGTATTACCAGGAAAATTATAAGGTATTCCCAGTAGACCACAATCTTCCATTATGTAAATAATCAGGCATACAGCACTGAGGATTGAAAAACACACCCTTTGCCTAAACACTTGGAGCATGCTCAGAAGCTTTCAGGGAGTGGTCAAGCAAAACATCAAAACAAAAGTGGCTCATTCCTGTCTGCTGAACCAGGAAGCTTCCGGTGAAACTATCGGCTCTCTGGGTGAAACTGGGTCTTTTCAGGCACGTCAGCGGAGCTTCGGGGACACTAAATCATTAATGCAGCCAGTAAAAAGCTTCTCTGTCACACCACATGTCCATCTGTTGCCCCACTCCACATTACACTGCACAGCTGCCATTACTTTAGAGTTACATGATTAACCACTGCCCTGTCTGCTAAGCTTAGGTAGCACAGAGAAGCTTCAACTACAGCAGAAGGCAGATAATCATTAACTCAGTGCAAATTCATTCTGTGAGCATTCATCACGTTTTTTTACAAGGTGCTGATAAAAAATAAAGCTAAACTTCAGATTAACATTGATACAAATACACTGCTGGCATGTGTTTTCATGGCAGACCAACCTAAAGCCTGTGGGCATTTCTTATAGGCAATCTCAACCGAGATAAGTTTGATGGAAAAATAAGGTAGGAGTGCAAACTGAAAGAACACACCATGACTTCCTTGTTTGCATACTTTTAGAGTTTCGGTGTACATACATACTGAGAAGTCCTGACAGCAAATGTACCTGAGAAGTGGAACAAGTTTTAAAGGAACTCGTCTGACAAGCCAGAGTTTGATTCATACAGCAGAGTGTGCTTATTGTATTGCAGAGGAATGGTAGGGGATGAAAATCCTCACTTCGTTACAAGTTTGTGGGAGAGTTGTTTTATTTTTGTACGTAACATACACACGTGATAACCTGAACAGACTTTGAGTTTACTAACTGTTAATACCAATCCAGAAAAATTAATGTGAAAATACTTGACATCTTGCAAGCAATTCAGAAAATCTGAGACAGTATAAAGGATAAAAAGCCACTCAACATGTGTATAATGACAAATGTGAAACTGTATGCAAGACAATCACAACAACAAAAGCAGCAGCAGATCCATATTAACCTTTAAAAAAAAAAAAAAAAAAAAGCAAACAACACAAACTTAAAACTGATAACTACACTATTACACAAATGACCATCAAGCAGCACAAGGAAACTTGGAAGGAAAATACAGAATAACGAGGAGATGACATTTAAATTAAGGCGGAAGTACGAATAATATTACAGATATTGTTCAGGTCTGGGGGTGTATCTGGATGAATCGCTAAACTAAACTGATTTTTGTCCCTGATCACAGTTTTCTTATTTTTACGATTAACCTATCTTTTCCATAAAGAGCTTTTTTTTCATGAAGATTCACCTTTTTTGTTTGTTTGTTTTTCTGCAGAGATGATTATCAAAAAGCCGAGCTGTATATAAAACACACTGCACCTCACAGAGAATTACAACAGGACAAACGATACTGACCGATACCTACTGACCCCTTTAAAGTGGGCATGTGACAGGAAACTTAAGAACTTACCAAAGTAAATAGCAGCTCTTTTGATGAATTACATTTGATTGAATATGGCCTCGCTAAACATCTTTACATTTGTGTAAAAGTAATGGTGGTGTGGAAACGGAAGGTTAAGATGTTTTAAGAGTAGGACAATTCCAGTCATGTAATAATTCAAAATGGCCTTTCATGGTTCTGCTCAAGACTAGGGCGTTGTAACTGAACCTGCCCATATTTTTAAAGCACCGTTAAGCTTATAATTACGGTTTGGCAAAAACTACTGCAAAACAAGATTACTATCTTCTTTAAAAGTGAAAAAAAAAAAAAAAAAAAAACACGGAGCTTCAACTGTTGAATGCCTACAAAGACTAAAAGAACAGCACATAAATAAACATTTTTAAAAAATTAATAGATAACTAAAAAGAAATCCCAAGTTTTCTCACCTATTGCTGCGCCAGAGAACAAAAGCAGCCAAAGGACTCCTCTCACAGTCATGTCGGGTTTCTTGTTTATTATTCGACGGCGTTCTCCTTTAAAAATTCTCGAGTAAAACAAGCCGAAAGTACGCAAAAATCTTCTTTGTGTCGAATAAAGAACGAATGGTCTCCGTTTCACCGACTCCTATTTCACTTATTTCGACGTTTCCAGCTCGAGTAAACACCTCTTGTTACCTAAAGAATCAGCGCAGGTGACTACAAACACCTAACTTCCGGTAATAAGATCCTGTCAGGTGCCGCCCAGAGGCTGATGGAGAAAAACAGGTTTGACTAGAACACGCCCAATAGAAACTACATCTCCCCGATAGGAAAGCATGTGCAATGGCTAGTTTGTCAATACTGTAGACATTTCCAGTCTTTTAACCCTCACACATTCTCAGCTGTGTGGGTTCTGCGTGAAACTGATGTGCGTGTTTGTAGGCCATGCAAGCGCTTGCAGTTAGGTCCTGCCGTGGTGTTTTCCAGCTGAGTCAGAAGTGAGGAACAGAGTAGACTTTCGATGGCACTGTTTGAATAGATTCGTACAGATTCTTATATTTTTTTTACCTTGTTTTAATGTTTGTGTGTGCTTCTTGGCCCCTTTTTTCTTAATGCATTTATGTGAAGTACGTTTTAACTTTGTTAAGAAAAGTCCTGCATAAATAAAGTTTATTATTAGCACCATTACATTTCATTTTAATCGGGATATAGCTTAACATTATAATCGCAAGCTTTGCTGTCATTATACTAAAGGTACAGCCGAGCTGTATGCAGCACAATTCAGTCCTAAGAGAGCAATCTGTCTTATTAAACATATGTACAGAGATTAAAAAGAGAATTGCTAATAAACACACCAATATAAAAAATACATATTTAAGCATGTGTGTTTAAATGCATGTTTATTTTAGGTACATTAACTAATGAATCCTTATTGAAACAGAAACAGAAAAAAGTGGATAAATGTGAACCAAACAAACAATGAAACCACCTCCAGTAAGCCTGGTTTTACTGCTTTTGCAATCTGGACAAACAATGAGAGTCAAACTGCTGCCTGACTTTCTGTCTGCCATCTGTTTTCACCTTTCAAAATCTATGAATCAGATTGTATTTTTAGCTTGTGTGTCTCTTATTTCCTCTCATTTTAAAGGCAAGTTCCCCTGCATGAGTAATTGTATTGGAATTTATGTTTAATCAATTAGTAATATTTAATTCATGATTTAAATATAGCCCACATCTGGCTGATATGGACTGTTTCTTGCATCATAATATTCAAAACTTTGTCATATTATCACTTGTTATTTGTAAGATAAAGTTCACAAGAAGTGCTGGAAAGTAAAACTGTGCAAATGATTCATCAGTACATGATTCGGTACTTTGGACCCCGAGATGACACCGTGCTTTGTTACGCAACGCCAGCATGTTACTGAGTAATTGTTCAAATAATGCTCACAGGCACACGGGATTAGGCAACACGATGACAGGAGTTACTCGGTTCGTTTGGCACTTCAGTGGAAATGTTGCTGTTTAACCGCATGCCGATAACATATTATCAGATCTTCTGCTCAATCGTAGGAAGATGCATTTTTAAAATTGCCTGTCGGTGTACAATGACATCATGCAGCCAAAGGTATGTGGGCATACAGACACCACATACTTGTGATCATGAAATGTATATGTGCATTTTAACAACGTTATTTCTATTTAAAAGAGAGTTTAATGATACAACTTTATAAAAAAATGTATTTTATAAAAGAAAATCCATATTATTTCTTTATTCTGTATACAGGGTACCAGTACTATAGACTAATCATCTTCCTGTTTTGGCAGAATACAAACAATCAGTAAAATAATTTTTTTCAAATGGTAGTTGGACTGTATTTCTTGTTTACAAGGACTACTTTCCAGAAGCTGAACTCAAGTGTGAATTTTATTCATTCATTTTATTATTCATTCATTTTCAGTTAAAGGATGCAATTTCAAAACAGATCCTGTCAGTCACAGATTTTTATAGAAACGAGATATTCTTTTCCTTCTCTTTCACTGTTGCTTTTCAACACCTTCAAATACAATTTGACTCACTTGGCTCAGCCAAAGGATATGCGCCTTTAGTATAGTATGAAATACCAGACACTGTATACACTCACTGGCTACTTAATTAGATACACCTTTCTACTACTTGACTGGACCCCCTTTTGTTTCCAGAATCGCTTCAGTTCTTAATGTCACAGATTCAACAAGGTGCTGGAAACGTTCCTCTGAGATTTTGGTCCGTATTGGCACAAACTGCTGGCTGAACATCCATGATGCAACTCTCTTGCTCCACCACATCCCACAGCTGCCGATGACACTGAGATCTGATGACTGTGGAGGTCATTTGAATCCTGTAAACTCATTGTCATGTTAAAGGAGCCAGACTGAGATGATCTGAGCTTTGTGACATGGTGCGTTATCCTGCTGGAAACAGCCATCAGAACAGGCTGACCTCAGGAGAAAACACTGCACCAGTGAAAGAATTTTTAATGTAAATTCATAAATTCATAAAGACTGAGTATCTGACTTAGCTTATAGTTTCAAACATGTACTAAATAAGCATCAGCCAAACATGGCTTATGTGTTTTAGGCACACGTGAAAGGCAAAATTTAAAAAAAACTGTGTTTGGGTGTCTTTGCAACTGTAGTTGAGGGACTTGATACAGACTATTGATCCTCTCCTCAGAATAGAATAGAACACGATAGAATAGAGAAACTTGATTGCATGCAATAGTAAGTCAAAACATCATTTGAAGCTTACATTAAAACCCTGTCAGCTATCTTCATTGCTCCATCCAATTTCTATTGACAAATACACAGCACGGTCTCCCGTTAGTGGGCCTGTGCAGCACAAGGTCACTGCCATCTGCTGTCATTTTTTGACAGCCAGGAGGAGACACTAGGGACAGATTTCAGTCAGGCAAAATAGATTGCTTACCTTAACGAGCGACGTGACTCAGCAATAATTCACATTGGAGAGTGCAGCGTTGCACTTTAGAGCTGTGAAGATTTCACTCATTAGATGGAACAGCAAAACTAGTTTCCATCCCTTCTTAAAAACCCTCTAAATCAGACAGTTTTTGTCTTATTAAAGAAGCAATCTGTCAATATCTTTGACTACATCTGCTACAATGATAGAATCTAGATAGTGAGCACTGCAGAATCTAGGATTTCAATTTTAAATCATGCTTTTTTTCTCATTAACCCTACTGAAAGTCTGCCAGATACAACAGGTAACTTATAGCTTAGAGCTAATATTAGTTTAGAGTATAGTGTATATGCAGCAGTATGTGTGCTTAGTATTGAGTGCATAATGCCAAGTGTGCAAGTGTGTGACATACCAAATATATACTGTGAGTACATTCAGTTTAACTTATTGCACTTTGTGCATACACGCAACTTCGGGGGAGTACAGCATCAGTGACCAGATGGTTATGGTTGCAGTGTTAAGATATGCAGCAGTTTGGCGCCTTCTTCACAGCCAGTGAATTTCCAGCAGCATGGGAAAGGTCATCAAGGTCAACAGTAGGCCACTGCAGCTTTGTAATAGGACACTCCATGCAGAACAGGGGAGGAGGAGCTCTGCGATAAGAAAAAAGCAACACAGGTTCACAAGGACGCGCGTTTTGTTTGTCAAGCTCACATGTTCTATTCTTATTTGTAAAAATAACAGGAAGTGCACATATGGGTCAAACGAGCATGAGGATAAGCATCTTACTCTTCTCGACTACCGAAGTTTTGGTCACAGGGGCCGAGTCGCCCACTTTGATGTTGCAGGTGAAGGTGGACTTGCCGTTGGGCAGGTTCTTATACAGCAGGCGACAGATGTTGCCTGGGAAGATGCGGGCTTTGGCACGTTTCTTGAAGGGGGCGTGCTGCTCCTCTGATGGGTCAGTGGTGTCGAAGAGGCGTTCACCGTGCGTGTACTTGCAAAAGACTTCTGATGACTCAGAAGGAAGTGAGTATTTGCAGTCCATCCTGAGGTGGTCCTCGTCTATAGAGCAGTAGGACAACTGAATCACCTTCTGAGCAGATGCAAAGCCTATAATGAAGCAGGAAGAGATGATCCGAATTAAGAACACAAACGTATACATTTGGGGTTGCTCACGTGAGGATGCGTGTCTTACCAAAGAGTAATATGGTGGTAAACAAAGACATTCTCCCGAGGTTCCTAAAAAACAAAACAAAAAAGAGGAAGTTAAGAGTTTTTTATTGTGTTTGTCTCGACATTAGCTGGATTCCAAATAAATCTGAGTCAGCTGTAAAGAGTGGAGTCAAGTCACTTCGGAGACATGAACATCACACTTCTGCTGCTCTGTGCTAAACCACAGAAAAGTCGCTGTACCCTTAACGCTACACAATCGATCACAATCCAGCCTCACGGTTCACAATGCAAAGAATCGAAGTACAAACTTTACTGACACATTTCCATGCTTAACCTCTTTAGAGGATACCAGCTAATTATTCACGTCCTCGATATGTAGAAAGAATAGACTAAGCACTTCATTTTATTTGCTTGATGCAAACCAACCCTTTCCTGCATTCAAACATTTGCTTTAGAGCAGCTGGACCATATACTTCATCCAGAATAACCGAATGACAGAAATGCATTGTGCATGCCACGGTTCGATATTTTGCCATTCAGATTAAACAGCATGCACAAACATAGCGCATGAATCCCTCTCACCTTCTCTGATGCATTTTTGAGTCTTCCTCAGTGCTCTGCAGTGTGATGCTGGGGGTAGATACAGTAGAGGTCGGCTTATAGAAGAAGCAGGGGAGAGAGGGAGGGCGCGAGGAAGGGAGTGGAGGGGGGGACACAGAGAGGGGAGGGGGAGAAAATGCTGCTCCGGTGGACTTTGGGGACATTTCTTAGGACTGTGTACGGTTTTCTATTGATTTTCAGGCTGTTTTACCAGAGGACGGAGGATCACGTGTCAGTACACAAACCTCTGGTTTCATTCTGAAAAGAATGAAGGAGGCAGATGAATGAGAAGGGATACGTGGTGACGAGGATTTGATTAGCTGGCACACCTCCGCAGCTGATCTACTCAATATGTGCAAGCGCTATGTGTGTCAGCAGTTTCTCTGCTACTTTCACCAACATGAATTTTAAACACAGAGATGTGGAGATTCGTTTACGAAGAAAAGGAGACAGAAACCACGAGATCACGAGGCTGATGACAGGATCATATAGTAGCTTTCTGCTGATACTTTATCAGCAGTCATTTAATTAACCTGATAGCGAATCATGTGGGAGGATAAATCTGCAAACATTATTGGAAGTGGAA